CAAGACAGAGTCTTGCTCTGTTGCCCAGGCTGGAGTGCAATGGCATGATCTCAGCTCACTACAACCTCTGCCTCCTGGGGTCAAGCGATTCTCCTGCCTCAGCCTCCTGAGTAGCTGCGATGACAGGCATGCACCACCATGCCTGGCTAATTTTTTTTATTTTTAGTACAGACTGGGTTTCACAATGTTAGCCAGGATGGTCTTGTTCTTCTGACCTCGTGATCTGCCCACCTTGGCCTCCCAAAGCAGAAAAGAATTTTAGCTGAAAGCTGGTATGATTACCAAGGCTCTTCTTAATGGGCCCTAAATTTCCATTTGTGTCCTCTCTTCCCTGTGAGAATGCCTAAGATTCTTTTTTAGCATCTAAGCCTTTTAGTCATAACTTTCTGTTCTGCTTCTCAGGATAACAAGCTTTACTTTGGAACTGACAAATGCTTTGAAATAAAAAGTGATACCAAATATCAGGCTCTTACCTCTCTGGGTTTCCCTTCTTTCTGGGGTCTTGGTTGAACAAGTCCTTACTGCATTGATAGCTCAATAATATAGTCTTCAAATAACTGTTTTTATATTTGGTCTATATATTTCATTAGATCAAACCACATGAAATTTTCTGTCTTCATATATCAAAATGGTTGCATACTGCCAATATCGTATGGTTCAGTCAAGATTATTGTCAATGAGAGGGTTAATCTGAAATAAACTATTCCACTATTGCTAGAAGCTAAATTATCAGAATCTAGGGTTAATGTAACCAAATGCTATTGGAATATTAGATAAGTGTCACAACAATGACTAATATATACATTCACATATATTATATATATTCATCAAATAGTATTTTTCCTGTGGAACAAGATACGCTTCTTCAAAGTCAAGTTCAGATAGTAAGTCAGTTAACAGCATTGAACAACCTGTATCTGGGCTGGGTGCGGTGGCTCGTGCCTGTAATCCCAGCATTTTGGGAGGCTGAGGTGGGCGGATCATGAGGTCAAGAGATCGAAACCATCCTGGCCAACATGGTGAAACCCTGTTTCTACTAAAATACAAAAGAAAAAAAAAAATTAGCCAGACATGGTTGTGAGTGTCTGTAATCCCAGCTACTTGGGAGGCTGAGGCAAGAGAATTGCTTGAACCTGGGAGGCAGAGGTAGCAGTGAGCCAAGATTGCGTCACTGCACTCCAGTCTGGTGANATATATATATATATATATAATTAAATTAAATAAATAAAAACCTTGTATCTGGCCAGGCACAGCCTCTGGAAGGCTGAAGTGGGCAGATCACCTGAGGTCAGGAGTTCCAGACCAGCCTGGCCAACATGGGGAAACTCCGCCTCTACTAAAAATATAAAAATATGGCCAGGCGCAGTGGCTCATTCCTGTAATCCCAGCACTTTGGGAGACCAAGGTGGGCAGATCACGAAGTCAGGAGACCAAGACCATCCTGGCCAACATGGTGAAATCCCGTTTCTACTAAAAATACAAAAATTAGCTGGGTGTGGTGGTGCATGCCTATAATCCCAGCTACTCAGAGGCCGAGGCAGGAGAATCACTTCAACCAGGGAGCTGGAGGTTGCAGTGAGCCAAGATCATGCCACTGCACTCCAGCCTGGTAACAAAGTGTGACTCTGTCTTAAAAAAAAAAAAAAGATTAGCCTGGGGTGGTAGCATGTAAGTGTAATCACAGATACTCGGGAGGCTGAGGCAAGAGAATTGCTTGAACTCGGGAGGCAGAGGTCGTAGTGAGCTGAGATTGCACCACTGCACTCCAGCCTGGGTGATGGAGTATGACTCCATCTCAAAAAAATATATAAATAAATAAAAACCTTATATCTTATATAAACATTGTAGAAACAAATGAATTTGCATACAAATTTGCACAGGAGATTTTAGTACCAGAAATCTCAGTGTAATGAAAAAGATATCTGTGTACCTGAAAATATTATTGCTGGAAAACTGTCTGAAAACAATTTGTGACTCCTCTTCCTCTTGTTTCTGAAGGATTGCTTATGGATGCCCAAATGCATTAAGTTCGGATGGTTTCTGCCCTATACTCCAACAGATAACGAGTATGGTGCTTGGAAGCGCCATTACATTGCTTGCGTGTCCCACTTAGACTGGCTGACACCCAGGGAGGCTGCTGCTACTTACGGGACGCTGAATGAATCCAAAACAGAAGATGAGGAACTACTAGAGAGACATAGAGAAAAGTGCCTAAGGAAAAGAATTTGGGAGAAAATTGCACTACGTAGGAGTAAGTAGCATTTTAAAACTTTGTATCAACAAATGGATTCACATACAGATTCCCACAGAGAAAGACAGCCCTATCTTTCAGAATACTCTGTGGGTGGCAGTCTTTAAAGTATTTTCAAGATGNTTTGGGAGAAAATTGCACTACGTAGGAGTAAGTAGCATATATAAATATTGTAGAAACAAATGGATTCACATACAGATTCCCACAGAGAAAGACAGCCCTATCTTTCAGAATACTCTGTGGGTGGCAGTCTTTAAAGTATTTTCAAGATGAGCTCTTTTTTATTGTGTATTTCAAGTTAATTGACCAGAAAAACAGATTTCAGACAAAATAAGGTTAAATATCAGTGCCTCCATCGCTATTCTGGCTCCTCTGAGGCTTATAAAACCAAAAACGAGGAGAGGAAAGATGTGTGAACATGGGCAAAAAGCAAATAAATAGGTCCAAAACAGGAATTGGGAGTGGTGAAAGGAGGAGTAGAAATGAAAATAAGAATGGAAGCAGGAAAAATGGCATTTAAAAAAGAGGCAAGAGAGGACAGCTCTTTCTTTTTTCTTTTTTTTTGAGACAAAGTGTCATGCAAGCTACAGTGCAATGGCGTGATCTCGGCTCACCGCAGCCTCCGCCTCCCAGGTTTAAGCTATTCTCCTGCCTCAGCCTCCCGAGTAGCTGGGATAACAGGCATGTGACACCATGCCCAACTAATTTTTGTAGTTTTAGTAGAGACGAGGTTTCACCACGTTGGCCAGGCTGGTCTCGAACTCCTGACCTCAAACGATCCATCCGCCTCAGTCTCCCAAAATGCTGGGATTACAGGTGTGAGCCACCACACCCAGCCATTTCCTCTCTCTCTTTTTAAAAGCCTCTCTCTTTCAGTTAAGCCCCCTTTTGATTTTTTATTTTTTTGAGACAGGGTCTTACTCCGTCACCCAGGCTGTGCAGTGTCATGATCGCTGGCTCACTGCAGCCTCCACTTCTGAGGCTCAAGTGATCCTCCACCTCAGCCTCCCGAGTAGCTGGGACCACAGGTGCATACCACCATGCCCTGCTAATTTGTTGTATTTTTAGTAGAGACAGGGTTTTACCATGCTGGTCATGCTGGTCCTGAACTCTTGGGCTCAAGTGACCCACCCACCCTCGCCTCCCAAGGTGCTGGGATTACAGGTGTGAGCCACAACGGCCAGCCTTGGCTAGGCCTTATGCTTTATGCAGTGTGTAAAAGAAAATGGCAAAACTGATTTGAGTTCTCCCATGCCTTCTTCCAATTAACTCACCCTCTGGTGAGATTGTGATACATAGGAAATTGCTTGAAGACAAGAAGAAGGGCACAAACAAATGTGACACTTAGCAATTGATTAACTGGTCTCCACAAGAAAAGAGTTACTTGTTCTCTGAGCTTTGTTTTTTGACCTGAAATGACTGGTAGCTCGCAGCCACAGTGCCGAGAGCATGAGAAATCCAAGCCCAGCGTGTGAAAATGGCTATAATTATTGTCATTTGGAACCTTGCCCTGGTACAGCTTTATTTCTGATGCCTTTTTCTGTGTGGACCTGACTGGGAGAAGCATGAAGTAACCAGCCCCGCTGCTGCTCTTTGTTTTTCAGAGGAGTTATTCAAAGTTCGACCCCCTTGGGTGAGTGGAATGGGCCGCTCTAGCATGCCAAAGCCCAAATGCCAACCACGCCTCTCCCAGACTCTAAGGGAGCAAGCAGGATCACATGAAGCTTTGGAGAAGCAGCTTGTTTTGACATCGTTAGAAACCTTGCCCAAGCAGTAAGTAAAATTCCATCTACTGAAGGCTCAGCACCGTCCCCTGATACCAATAATTCATTCTACAATAATTTAGCTAACATGCAGAAATCTTTTGTGGCTCATATCCTATGAAATATTGGTAGAGATAATTAATTTTTTTCTTTTTTTTGAGACAGAGTTTTGCTCTGTCGCCCAGGCTGGAGTGCAGTGGAGCGATCTCGGCTCACTGCAAACTCCAACTCCTGGTTCAAGCAATTCTACTGCATCAGCCTCCCAAGTAGCTAGGATTACAGGCATGTGCTAACATACCCAGCTAATTTTTGTATTTTTAGTAGAGATGGGGTTTCACCATGTTAGCCAGGATGGTCTTGATCTCCTGACCTCGTGATCCACTTACCTTGGCCTCCCAAAGTGCTAGGATTACAGGCATGAGCCACCACACCTGGCTGAGATAATTAATTTTCTTTTTTTTTTTTTTTTTTGGAACGGAGTTTCGTTCTTGTTACCCAGGCTGGAGTGCAATGGCGCGATCTCGGCTCACCGCAACCTCCGCCTCCTGGGTTCAGGCAATTCTCCTGCCTCAGCCTCCTGAGTAGCTGGGATTACAGGCACGCGCCACCATGCCTTGCTAATTTTTGTGTTTTTAATCGCGATGGGGTTTCACCATGTTGGCCGTGCTAGTCTTGAACTCCTGACCCCTCGTGATCCACTTACCTTGGCCTCCCAAAGTGCTAGGATTACAGGCATGAGCCACCACACCTGGCTGAGATTTAATTTTCTAGAACAGTGGTCTTAAACATGCTTTCTGAAGAGGTAAACATATAATATCCAAAACTTATATTTTAAATATTCTTTTTGTTTTTGAGATGAGGTCTTGCCACATTGCTCAGGCTAGTGTCAAACCTGTAGGCTCAAGCGATCCTCCCACTGGCCTCCCAAGTAGCTGCAATTACATGCATGCCACCAAACCTGACTTCACATATTCTCAACTCTGCAATGAAGCTATATTGTGGATGTAGTATATTTTCTGAATAAAGTGATTGAGCAAAGATTACATTTTTCCACAAGTGTTTTTTATGAAGTAAGAGTATCCAAATGGTACACAAATATAACTTCCATTTATATTTGTATGTACAAATATAATTTTATTACCCAAAATAGAGAAACATCAGCTGCATTCAGTTACCAAATCATACTATACAGTGAAATTACCGGAAATTCAATTCCATCTGACTCTCATAACCATCACAATTGTGCATCTACTTAGAATTTCTTTTTAACTTTTAACTTTGGATTCTAGAGATCATGTAATCTCACTCACCTATGTTTCAAATGAGGAACCTGAGGCCTAGAGAGGTGACATGACTTACCCACATGTCAAAGTGTCAAACACTAGAACCTAAAACTCTAAAATTCCAACAGTCTTTCAACTTCACCCACTGATGCTACATAGGATCTCTATGTGTCTGAACATTTGTGAATGTGTGTACGTACATTTACTTGTCCAAGGCACCTAAAGGATTTTAAGAAGCCAGGCGTAGTGGCTCAGCTGATATTCCTAGCACTTTGGGAGGCCGAGGTGGGAGGATCACTTGAACTCAGGAGTTGGAGACCAGCTTAGGCAATATGGTGAGACCCCATCTCTATAAAAAGTAGAAAATAGCTGGGTATAATGGCACACACCTGTGGTCCCAGCTACCTGGGAGGCTGAGATGGGAAAGATTGTTTGAGCCTGGGAGGTTGAGGCTACAGAGAGCTGTGATCACACAACTGCACTCCAACCTGGGTGACAGAGCAGGACCCTGTCACTTAATATATATATATTTATATATATATTTATATATATACACTCCTGAGTAGCTGGGAACATATATCATACATATATAATACACACACACACTTCATATATATATATGAAGTGTATACACACACACGTACATATATGAAGTGTATACACACACACATAAAAAGTGTACATGTGAGAGTGTGTGTGTGGAGATTATTCAGGAAAAACTGAGGCCTAGAAGGAAATTCAAAATCTCTCAGCTACTTTTTAAATATCTTTTGAACTCCCAAATATGTCATTACATTCATTTAAGTGCCCAGTATGAGCTAAGTAAGTTCCAAGAGACTGTTGCATCCCACATGTGCAGAGGAGAGGCTCAGAGAGCAGATTTGGCCTACCCCACCCAGGAGCTCCATTTGCTACTGGCCCCTCAAAACACAGGGAGAAGCTAAGGCATGGAGGCCACATGCCTTGCAGAGTAGAGCTGATGCCCAGAGCACATATGCTGCTCACTTACCAAAACTCAAGGTAAAAGAAAATTAAAACTTCATGTATTTCCTTTTTCTCCTTAGAAGCAATATTTCTGGAAGCCATTCCTACCCTTTATTATCAAAGAAAAATTGGCATGGAGTATATAAAAATGATGACAGCTCTTCATGTGCTCTCCGGCCACACTTCATATTAATATCCTCTCGGATTCCTGCATATGAGGTAGAGTATGTTATGAGACCAGTCCTGTCCTGATTGGTTGTTTTAATCTAGACTAGAGGGTGTGTGACAGTCTTTTGGCCACCATGTGTATGAAAAATGATTCAACTTCTAAAAGGAAAATCAAGCCAGGTGTGGTGGCACATACCAGTAGTCCCAGCTACTTGGGAGGTTGAAGTGGGAGGATCACTGGAGCCCAGGAGGCAGAGGCTGCAGTGAGCTGTGATCACACCACCGCACTCCAGCCCGGGCAACAGAGTGAGACTGTTTCTATTAAAAAAAAAAAAAAAAAAGCTGGGCGCGGTGGCTCACGCCTATAATCCCAGAACTTTGGGAGGCCAAGGAGGGCAGATCACGAGGTCAAGAGATCGAGACCATCCTGGCCAACATGGTGAAAACCCTGTCTCTACTAAAAATACAAAAATTAGCTGGGTGTGATGGCACGTGCCTGTAGTCCCAGCTACTCGGGAGGCTGAGGCAGGAGAATTGCTTGAACCCGGGAGGTGGAGGTTGCAGTAAGCTGAGATCATGCCACTGCACTCCAGCCTAGTGCCTGGTGACAGAGCAAGACTGTCTCAAAAGAAAAAAAAAAAAAAAGAAAAAAAGAAAAATCTTCATTTTAAGCTGGGCATGGTGGCTCACACCTGTAATCCAAGCACTTTGGAGGCCAAGGTGGGTGGATCACCTGAGGTCAGGAGTTCAAGACCAGCCTGACCAACATGGTGAAACCCTGTCTATAACAAAATTTAAAAATAAATAAATAAAAAAAAAATTTTTTTTAAAAAAAAGGAAAAAAGAAAATTAAAGCCCAGGTACAGTGGCTCACGTCTGTAATCCCGGCACTTTGGGAGGTCAAGGTAGGTGGATCACCTGAGATCAGGAGTTCAAAACCAGCCTGGCCAATATGGCCAAAACCCATCTCTACTAAAAGTACAAAAAAATAGCTTAAGTGTGGTGGCACGGGCCTGTAGTCCCAGTTACTCAGGAGGCTGAGGCATGAGAATTGCTTGAACCTAGGAGGCGGAGGTTGCACTGACCTAAGATCAGGCTACTGTACTCCAGCCTGGGTGACAGAGTGAGACTGTCTAAAATAAAATAAAATAAATTAAATAAAGTAAATTAAACATAAATAAAATCATCTAAGTGAAAATGTATAGACCCGAAATAGTTTTTAAAGTCAGAATTAATGAAGGTAATCATAAATCGAAATTATTTGGAAAAGTATTAAAGGCTCAGACTTTTAACTGAAGCCTTTTGAGAGGTGACAATTTACTCAGTGTCAAAGTTTCAAACACTAGAACCTAAAATCCTAAAATTTCAACACTCTTAGCTTCACCCATTGATGCTACGTGTGGATCTCTGTGTGTCTGAGCATTTGTGAGTGTGTCTGTGTATTAGTCTGTTCTCGTACTTCTATAAAGAAATACTCAAGGCTGGGTAATTTACAAAGGAAAGAGATTTAATTGACTCACAGTTTCACATGGCTGGGGAGGCCTCAGGAAACTTACAATCATGGCAGAAGGCTAAGGGAAAGCAAGGACCTTCTTCATATGACAGCAGGAGAGAGAATGAGCAAGAGAAATGCCAGACACTTATGAAACCATCAGATCTCATGAAAACTCACTCAGTGTCACGAGAACAGCATGGGGGAAACCGCCCTTGTGATCTAATCACCTCCCACCAGTTCCGTCCCTTGACACATGGGGATAATGGGGATTACAAATCAAGATGAGATTCGGGTGGGAACACAAAGCCAAACCGTATCAGTGTGCATGTCCAATAAATTTTTGAATTTGTTGCACTTAATCCAAAAAAGGAGCATACTGATTAAGAATTACTTTAAAACTTCTCTGGAATTCTCAAATAATTTAATAGTACTATGTAACCACCATCTCACAAAAGAAGAATGTCAGAAATCCTGTTTTATGATTTAATTAAGGTACCATTAAACTAAAATATGCTTTCTCTATAATGAAGTTATAGATTTTAATTTTATATGAATAATATGAAGTTACAGATTTTAATTTTAATATGAATAATATAAATTTAAAGGAAGTACAAAGAAGACTTTGGAAGATAATAGTATTTATATATGTGGGTGTATATGTATGTATACACGTGTACCTGTATGTATTAATATGCACACATAGGGACATTTACTTAGAAAAGTTTCTATTTGTAATAAAATGGCTCCTTTCAAGATATGAACTCACTTTTTCTGGGCATTTAGGAGTCAGCCCTAATCACTGACAACTGGTGAGCTCAGTGGATCCACATGAAAGCAAGATCAGAGCCTTGATCTCCATGTGGGCCATAGTTTCCCCAATGCTTAACAGTGCATCATGCTGGCTGGGTATGGTGGCTCACACCTATAATCCCAACAAGCTGGGAGGTCAAGGCAGGAGGATTGCTGGGACTACAGGCGAACACCACCACCACCACACCCACCTAATTTTTGTATTTTTTATGGAGACGGGTTTCACCATGTTGCCCAGGCTGGTCTCAAACTCCTGAGCTCAAGTGATCTGCCAGCCTTGGCCTCTCAGAGTGCTGGGATTACAGGTGTGAGCCACCGTGCTTGGCTTCTATTACTTTTCAAAAGTTATTTATCCTTTCTGCCCCCTAGCACTGCTGGGCCTGCAGGTCTCTCTCGAGCCGCGTATACAGGTCTCGTTTTGCAGGATGGGGTTTGTTGAAGTTGTTCATGAGGTCAAGAGATTGAGACCATCCTGGTCAACATGGTGAAACCCCGTCTCTACTAAAAATACAAACTAATTTAGCCGGGCGGGGTGGCACATGCGTGTAATCACAGCTACTCAGGAGGCTGAGGCTGAGGTTGTGGTGAGCCGAGATTGTGCCATTGCACTCTAGCCTGGACAACAAGAGTGAAACTCCATTTCAAAAAAAAAAAAAGAATAAGGCCTACTTTAAGAAATACCAGGTGAAATTTAGAAGACGACCAGAGGGTAAAAGAAGTGATTACTATGCTGGGAAACGCTTGGTGATACAAGTTAAAAATAAATGCAACACACCCACATACAGGATAATTCATGTGACAAACAGATATATCATTTGTCAGATTGCTTATTCCCCTATAGAGGGGGATGTGATAGTCTGCACAGCATAAGCACATGAACTGCCAAAATATGGTATGAAGGTTGGCCTGACAAATTCTGCTGCAGCATATTGTACTGGCCTGCTGCTGGCCCGCAGGCTTCTCAATGGGCTTGGCATGGACAAGATCTATGAAGGCCAAGTGGAGGTAACTGGTGATGAATACAATGTGAAAAGCATTGATGGTCAGCCAGGTGCCTTTATCTGCTATTTGGATGCAGGCCTTGCGAGAACTACCACTGGCAATAAAGTTTTTGGTGCCCTGAAGGGAGCTGTGGATGGAGGCTTGTCTATCACTCACAGTACCAAACCATGCTCTGGTTATGATTCTGAAAGTAGGAAATTTAATGCAGAAATACACCAGAAGCATATCATGGGCCAGAACGTTGCAGATTACATGCGCTACTTAATGGAAGATGAAGATGCTGGAAACAGTTCTCTCAATGCATAAAGAACAGCGTGACTCCAGACATGATGGAGGAGAAGTGTAAGAAAGCTCACGCTGCTACACGAGAGAATCCAGTCTATGAAAAGAAGCCCAAGAAAGAAGTTAAAGAGAAGAGGTGGAACCGGTGCAAAATGTCCCTTGCTCAGAAGAAAGACCACGTAGCTCTAAAGGCGGCAAGCTTCCTCAGAGCTCAGGAGCGGGCTGCTGATAGATAAACCAAACACTTTCCTATGAGGATTTTTCAGATAAAGACAGTAAACTATGGACAGCAAAAAGAAAAGAAAAGGTTATTTATATGTCTTTGTGCATGGTGTACACAAAGATAAAAAGGTTGGAAGAAAATAATCTAATATTTTTTTGGGGGGGATGGAGTCTCGCTCTGCTGCCCAGGCTGGAATGCAGTGGTGACCTCTCAGCTCACTGCAACCTCCACATCCCAGGTTCAGTGATTCTCCTGCCTCAGCTCTCCGAGTAGCTGGGATTACAGGCACATGCCACCACACCCAACTAATTTTTGTATTTTTAGTAGAGACGGGGTTTCACCCTGTTGGCCAGAATGGTCTCAATCTCTTGACTTTGTGATCTGACCGCCTCGGCCTCCCAGAGTGCTGGGATTACAGGCATGAGTCACCGCGCCTGGCCCGAATTGTTAATAGTATTTATTTCTGAGTGGAATTACATGGGTAATTTTCTCCTCTTATAATTAGAAATAAACTAATTTTAACAGAAACCAAGGAAAGAGGAAGCTTATCTTCTTCCATAATCTCTGAAAATTCTTTAGAAATCATGGCATATTTTGTATCCATTCTATTTCTTTCATTAATAAATATTCCAAAATAGTGGGTCTCAGCACCCACAGCTTTGGTTTCATTTTCCAGATGGTGGTGGAGAGCGTGAAGGCTGGTGTCGTTTCTGTGGTATACGAACACAGCGTAACCTTGGAGAGCCTACTTTACCTCATAGAAAAAGCTCTGGATGGGCAGAAGGCACAGAGCATGGGAATATTTAGCGATGGAGATAGCAGAGAAATCAATTTACTCCAAGGTAGACCCAGGCATTGGTGACAAACAACCATGCAACTTCGTGCTATGCAGCGTTTGTCCACAGTGGGACTTTCGGAGGACTGTTTCAGTTCCAAGTTGCTAAGATGTATTGATTTGGGCTTTATGAACAAAGTGAAGCTTTTTTTTCTTTTTTGATTCAGGGTCTTGCTCTGTCACCCAGGCTGGAGTACAGTGGTGTGATCGTGGCTCACTGGAGCCTGGACTTTCCAAGTTCAAGTGATCCACCTACTTCAGCCTCCCGAGCAGCTGGAACCACAGGCATGTGCCACCACAATGAGCTAATTTTTGTATTTTTTCTAGAGATGGGGGTTTTCCCTGTTGCCCACGCTGGTCTCAAACTCCTGGGCTCAAGTGATTCTCCTGCCTTAGCCTCTCAAAGTGCTGGGATTACAGGTGTGAACCACCATACCCAGCCTGTTGGTTTTTTTTTTTTTTTGAGACAGAGTCTTGCTCTGTTGCCTAATGTGAAGTGCACTGGTATGATCATAGCTCAGGGCAGCCTCAAACTCCTGAGCTCAAGTGATTTGTCCTCAGTGTCCTAAGCAGCTGATGCATACAATCATATCAAGCTAATTTCTATTTTAACTTTTTAGAGATGAGATCCTACTCTATTGCCCAGGCTGGTCTGGAACTCCTAGCCTCAAGCAATCCTTCCATCTCAGCCCCCAATGTGCTGGGATTACAGGTGTGAGCCACCGTGCCTGGCCTTCTTTTTAAAACAGTAGCCATTCTAATGGATGTAGTATCTCATTGTGGTTTTGATTTGCATTTATCTGATGATTAGTGATGTCAAGCATCTTTTCATATGCTTTTTGGCCATTTGGAATACCTTCTTTAGAGAAATGTCTGTTCAAGTCCTTCGCACATTTTTAAAAATTGAGTTTTTTCACTGTTGAGTTATAGGAGTTCATATATTCCAGATATTAACCCATTATCAAATATATGATTTGCAAATATTTTCTCCCATTCCATAGGCTTTGTTTTCACTCTGTTGATTGTATGCTTTGATGCACAAAAGTTTTAAGTTTGATGGAAGTACAGCAATTTTAATAGCAAATACCAAGATCTGTAAATTAGTGTACACTAACAACGTTTATTATATTCCTACTTGACTTACACTACAAAGGAAAGGAATGGCTGATACCAGCAACTTGGTACAGGGCAGCTATCAAAAACCTCAATGGGGTGGAGCATGGCGGCTCACGCCTGCAATCCCAACATTTTGGGAGGCTGAGGTAGGTGGCTCTCTTGAGCCCAGGAACCCATACCAGCTTGGACAACATGGCAAAACCCTGTCTCTACAAAAAAATACAAAAAAAATAGCTGGCTTTGATGGCACACACCTGTAGTCCCAGCTACTCCTTGGAAGGCTGAGGTGGGAGGATCCCTGGATACCGGGGCGGGAGGGGGAGGGAGGCAGATGTTGCAGTGAGCCATTGAGCCTCTGCACTCCAGCCTGGGCTACAGAGAAAAACCCTATCTAAAAAAAAAAAAAAATCCACCAATCCTCCCACCTCCCCTGCCAAAACAAACCTCAGTTGTCACCCTTTTTTGGGGGAAAGAGATGACGAATGTTTTAGAAGTAAACTTCTAGTTTCTTTTTCTTATAACTTGCATTCTTCCTTTTTTATACTTAAAGTAAAATTGTTTTTAAAACTTACTCAAATGAAATCTTCCATTATTGTGGGTTGAGGGGAGAGAAGGAATAAGATGGTCCCGGATATGGCTGGAGTAAACCAGCAAAATGCAGACTGAGTCCCTGAGTCATCCATCAACTTGCCATCTCTGTGGCTGGGACTTCATGTACTTGGAAAGTTTCAGTGAAATTTCTCATTGGCAGAAATGAATTGCCTTTTGTTTCACTTAACCTTACTTCTGGTTTTCCTTGTTTAGCTTACCTTTGCCTGGGGCAAGTTGTGTTCCATATCAGTTTTCTATGTCCTCCCAAAGTAAAGCACAGATACTATTTATCTGGGGTTTAAATTTACAATTAATTACATGGTAACTCTTCTCTAAATGGTGCAGAGATATTGGCAAGTTTATACAGTTGGAGTAAGTTTATCTCATGTGGAATGTCCTATTAGGGTTTCTTGATTTCTGCCTTTATGTTCTCCAGGTAAGAAAGTTTTCAAACTCTGCCTTTTCTCTATTCTCGTTTTTTGTTTTGTTTTGTTTTGTTTTGTTGAGATGGAGTCTTGCTCTGTCACCCAGGCTGGAGTGCAGTGGCACAATCTCGGCTCACGGCAACCTCCACCTCCTTGGTTCAAGCAATTCTTTTGCCTCAGCCTCCCGAGTAGCTGGGACTACAGGCGCGCGCCACGACGCTCAGCTAATTTTTATATTTTTAGTAGAGATGGGGTTTCACCATATTGGCCAGGCTGGTCTTGAACTCCTGACCTTGTGATCCACCCACCTCGGCCTCCTAAAGTGCTGGGATTACAGGCGTGAGCCACTGTGCCGGGTCCTTATTCTGTTTTTTTTAAGCAGCAGTAACAATAACAAAATACCTCAAACAACCAGTTTCCTTTGATATAATTGTGGTGTTTTCCCAAAAGCTTTGGCTTTAAAATCAACATCAAAACAAAGTTTGCTACTCTGTCGCGTGAAAAAGTCCTTTCTAGCTATTTAGAAAATATCTAGGCTTCCCAGTGGGAGGGAATGAAACACCAGAATTCTGTGCCTGTTTTCATTTCATCACCGGAGCCTAGGATTGTGGAGTTTCCAGGATTCCTTTAGAATTGGGTCCAGACCCATGAAGCTTAGTGGAATCATCACACAGAAATGTCGGAAAGTGAGAGAAAAGGAGAGTTTCCATTGATGTTTAACATCTCTGGGAGCCTTACTTCTGCTCTGTACTACTTATTTTTTGATTGACAATCATGGGAAACATTTCGGAACTTGGTTGCAAAATTCCAGGACTTTCTGGCCAGCCACCCTAAACCCGGCGTGCATGTGGTATCTTACCCTGCTGCATAGCGGAGGGAGAAATACAGTGTCGTAGACCTGAGTGCACAGTGTCCAATGTACCCAGGACGTGAAGGATGGTGCAGGAGGAAGCAGAGCTGCCTCGGGTATCTTGGTCTTAAGGCAGATGGCGTTTTGATTTTGTGCTTACATTTTCACAAACTGCTAATAATTTCTGTTCAGGATTATGTCACAAAGTAACATGACATTTTGATTTTTTTTTCCTCAGGGTATAAAATTGGTGTTAAAAATTTACTGAAGCCTGAAGTGAGAGATTTCTGGGAGAAATTAGGAAGCTACGTGGCCACTGAAAAAGAAGGGGGCCACGTGGACTTCTTCGCACCTCTTGGAGCATCAGGTCAGCTCAGACATCTTATAGAGAGACAGCGGCCAATGCCACTTCATGAGGACATGTTGTAAATTACTGAAGTGCCCCTGGGCCAAATGATTCAGTCACATTTTGCTCTTCAATATCTTTTTTCTTTATACTTCCCATATCCAGGTATTTCAGGAATGTAGGAGTGAGGGATAGTGATGAGAGTGACCTGTGTCTGCAGAAATACAGTCCCTAAATGGCAAGACCCAGCATGATTTATATTTATCCTGGAAAACACAATAAAACCAGCCTCCAGGATATAAGGGAAGGTGCCTGACCATCATAGGAACCATAATCATTCAATCTGAGAAAACACCCCCTGCCGCCTTCTGAACCTGGAGTAGGCATGAACTTTGGTGACCAAGAACCTGAACTTGAGTCCCATCCATGTCATTGTTTAGCTTTGCGGCATTAGGCAAACTTGTGGACCTCCATTTGCTCATATGATAGAACAACAGTACCTTAGCGTATCTTTTTTTTTTTTTTTTTTTGAGATGACGTCTCACTCTTTCACCCAGGCTGGAGTGCAGTGGCGCAAACCTGGCTCACTGCAACCTTCGCTTCCCAGGTTCCAGCAATTCTCCTGCTTCAGCCTCTCAAGTAGCTGGGACTACAGGCGCACAATACCATGCCTGGCAAATTTTTTGTATATTTAATAGAGGCGGGGGTCTCACCATGCTGGCCAGGCTGGCCTCAAACTCCTGACCTCGTGATCCACCCACCTCGGCCTCCCAAAGTGCTGGGATTACACGTGAATCGTGATCCACCCACCTCGGCCTCCCAAAGTGCTGGGATTACACGTGAACCACCACACCCAGCCAACCTTAGCGTATCTTAAATATGCTAAGGTGAAAATCAAGATGGCATAAATATTTAAATACTAAAAATAGTGTAAATTCTTAGATAATATTAAAAACAGTGAAGTGCTCTGTAAAGATGAGTACGGCTAATGATGATTGAGGTTGCTGGTATCATTTTATAAGTGCCTGCCTGTCTAGGATCAGCAACTGTGATTCAAAGTTGATTTCTAGGCTTGAAGAGAAACTCCAGCAGCATTAAGTCAAATTCACCCTTTGGAGATCTATTCAATAAAAGTTCTGCATTCATGGGCGATGTTTTACCAGGCAGAGCGGGGGAGTGTGAAATTAAATTTTCTCACACTGTTTTCTTTTTGTTGTTGCTGTTAGCCATCCTTGGGGAACTGTGAGTTTTAAAATTCTTTCTACTCCTCAGATTTCAGTGGACTGTTCAACATGTGCAAAGCAAGGCCCTGGCAGGCTTCAACCAGGGGACAGGAAAAAACCAAAAAAGGATGGGAAAGAATTTTTTTAAATGTGTAAATAATTTTACCAAGTTATTCCAATTATATACAAATATATATTTCTTAAATCTCAGCTGTGTAGAAAATATGCTGGCCAGGCACGGTGGCTCACACCTGTAATCCCAGGACTTTGGGAAGCCAAGATGGGAGGATAAACTGAATTTAGGAGTTTGAGACTAGCCTGGCCAATATGGCAAAACCCCATCTCTGCTAAAAATAGAAAAAATAGCCAGGCATGGTGGTGGGTGCCTGTAATCCCAGCTACTTGGGAGGGTGAGACAGGAGAATCGCTTGAACCTGGGACGTGGAGTCTGCAGTGAGCTGAGATCGTGTCACTGCACTCCAGCCTGGGTGACAGAGACTCCACCCCAGAAAAAAAAAATATGCATAGAAAAATGAAGGAGGGGCCGGGCGCGGTGGCTTACGCCTGTAATCCCAGCACTGTGGGAGGCCGAGGCGGGTGGATCACGAGGTCAAGAGCTCGAGACCATCCTGGTCAACATGGTGAAACCCCATCTCTACTAAAAATACAAAAATTAGCTGGGCATGGTGGCGCATGCCTGTAACCCCAGCTACTCAGGAGGCTGAGGCAGGAGAATTGCCTGAACCCAGGAGGCGGAGGTTGCGGTGAGCCGAGATCGCGCCATTGCACTCCAGCCTGGGTAACAAGAGCGAAACTCCGTCTCAAAAAAACAAAACAAAACAGAAAAACAAAAAAAAAAAAAAAAAAAAATGAAGGAGGAAATATACCAAAATATTAACAACATCTGTTTCTAGATGTGTTTTATGTTTTTTCTACTTTTGAAATTGGTTTTAAAAGACTAGGTTATAAAGGGTGTGGATGGTGTGATCTCGTTGTTTAAAACATGCATATGTATGAGGTGGTGTATGTATTTATAGAAAAAGATTTGGAAGGATGTATACCAAGGTATCAACACTAGTTGTCGAAAACTCACTTATAAGTGAGTTTTCCTTTCTTTTTTTCTCCCTTTTAAAAAATTTCTTTTGTTTGCCTCAATTTCCTGTAATGAACTAATATTACTTTTATAATAAGAACAAAGCAAATATTTTAAGTGGAGTAGAAGAAAGGACTTGGGAAAGTATTGAAGGCAGAATAAGAATAAAGGAAGAAAAGAACAGTGGGTTTGGTGACATAAAAATCGTCTCAAGTGAAACTTAATGACACTCAAAAAATAGACTTCCTGTCGCCATTCTGGGCCCCAAAATTCTCATCAAATGTAATATCCACCTGGATGCATCAAAAATCACGGACTTCTCAGTCCAAATACTTCTTTTCCACCACTTCAGGCATCCCTCTTAGGCTTGTCAGCCCAGTAGCTGTATTACCCCTAAAATCTTGATTTCAAACTTTTACCTTTGAGAACCATTTTCAAATCATGTCCTCAAATAACCCCACCATAGCAGCTCCTTGTCTAAGACCTCCAGTCTACACACTCCAACTTTTTCACTATCAACACATCTTCATTTTTTGCTCCCTTGTTAAACTTGGATTTAATGGCCCAACTTTATTACCACTCCCTGGCAAAGAATCTGAACTTCGTTTTCTCCGTTTTTTGGCTAAATCCCAGTGTTGGTTAAAACACAACTCTCTGCACAGGCTCTACCTGTGGGTACTAGAGCAGTTAAAAGACTGTTGGAATAAGTGATACAACTGCTCTGATTGGTCACTTTACTTTGGTGACGTAACTGTCAAATTCTGATGCAACACTGATGACCATCCTCCCACATTTCCTTGGTAAATTCATTTTCACACTCTTAGAGATGACAATTTTATCTCTTCTCTTTAGACAGCCTTTCAATAACCCTGTCTCTCAGCTTTGACCTCACCTTTTACTTCCCTAAGAAAACTGAATCACACGGAAACTCCCTAATTGTCCTCCCACCATCCAATTCACCACCAGCTCTACCTCTTACTTTTTATTCTGTCTTCCCTTCTGCCCAGATGGAAGAAGCACCCCTGCCCACACGAGATCAGATGCTGTACTTGGAATCCACCCCATTGCCTTTCATCTTCTCCACACTTCTCTACATCCAATCCTCTCCTGTGGCCTCATTTCTCTCTTTATTGGGCTGTTTCTATCAAATCAGGAACACCTGTAGTATCTCCCGTCTTAAAAAAAAAAAAAAAAAAAAGGACAATAAACTTTCCCTCACCGCTTTTTAATTGGACAAGACTTGAGCACGCATCCGTATCACGGGAGGGCTGGTTAAACTACACATTGCTGGGTCCCACCTCGAGTTTCAGACTCAGTTAAGTCTGGGGTGGGCCTGAAGAATTTTCCTTTCTAACAAGTTTCCAGGTGATGTTGATGCTGCTGCCAGGCCTTCCTTCCTTACCTCCTACTCTCTCCTCAAGCTCCTCCAACTGGTTCGTCTCTACTGACAATGCTTTTGGAAGACTGTAAGTGACTTCCAGGTGCTCAAATCCAGCGGTCCCTGCTCCATTCCCACCTCACTTTGACCTTTGACTTCTTGGAAGCATCTGATGCAGAGGAAAGCCCCTTCTGGAAATGCTCCTTCTCTTGGTGTCCCTAATAGCACACTCTCCCTGTTTCCTCCTGCCTCAGTGCCCTCTTCTCAGTCTCCTTTGCAGGCTCTTCTTTCTCTGCAAGATCCTTAAATATTCCCCAGGGCCTGATCCTAGCCTCTCTCCTTTTCCACATATGCACTCTCCCCACTAGCCAGTCTCATTTTCCGATGCGTATTAGTCCGTTCTCACACTGCTATAAATAACTGCCCGCGGCTGGGTAATTTGTAAAGGAAAGAGATTTAATTGACTCACAGTTCTGCATGGCTGGAAAGCCTCAGGAAATTCACAATAATGGCAAAAGGGGAAGCAACTTCTTCACGTGGTGGCAGGCGGGAGAAGAATGAGAGCCCAGCAAAGGAGGAAGCCACTTATAAAACCATCAGATCTCGTGAGAACTCACTCATGATCACAATAAGAGGATGGGGGAGAGTGCCCCTTAATGAAATTATCTCCACCTGCTCCCACCCTTGACACGTGAGGATTATTACAATTCAAGATGAGATTTTGGGTGGGGACACAGCCAAACCATATCAACGACTATACACATAATTTTTATGCTGAGGACTCCCAAATTTATGTCTCCAATGCTGAAATCTCTGAGCTGCAGATTCATATCGAATTCCCACTTACTATCTTCATACTGGATGTTTAATTTTCATGTCTAATAGACATCTCAAAGTTAAATCAAACCCTTGATTGCCTCCCCAGCACCAAACCTACCCCTGCCCCAAATTCCTCAGTAAAAATATCATCATTCAACAGTTATTGCATAAGCCAAAAATCTAAGAATCTAATACTTATTCTTTTTGGCATTAAAAACATTTTTAAACAGCATTATTGAAATATAATTAATACACAATAAACTGTACATAATTAAAGTGTACAATTGACTAAATTTTGACAGATATATGCCTACCCCATGAGACCATGAAAAAAATCCAGAAAATGAACATATTCATTAACCCCAAGAGTTTCCTCATGCCATTCTGTAATTCTGTAATTTCTCTCTCCTGCTTCTCCCCACCCCCAAACTGAGCAACCACTGATCTTTATTTCATATATATTAGTTGTCATCTTCTAGAATTTTCCTTTTTTTTTTGAGACAGGGTCTGCTTTGTTGCCCAGGCTGGGGTGCAGTAGTGAAATCACAGCTCAGTGCAGCCTCAACTTCCTGGGGTCGAGCAATCCTCCCACCTCAGCCTCCTGAGTAGCTGGGACTTCAGGCACACAACACCACACCTGGCTAATTTTTTAAATTTTTAATAGAGACAGGGTCTCCCTACGTTTCCCAGGCTGGTCTTGAGCTCCTAGGCTTAAGCAATTCTCCTTCCTCAGCCTGGTAGGATCACAGGTATGCGCCATCCCACCTGATTTTCCTTTTTTTTTTTTCTTTCTTTCTTTTTTTTCTCTGAGATGGAGTTTTACTCTTGTTGCCCAGGCTGGAGTGCAATGGCACGATCTCAGCTCACTGCAACCTCCGCCTCCTGGGTTCAAGCAATTCTTCTGCCTCAGCCTCCCAAGTAGCTGGGATTACAGGCATGCGCCACCACACACAGCTAATTTTGTATTTTTAGTAGAGACAGGATTTCACCATGTTGGTCAGGATGATCTCAGTCACCTGACCTCATGATCTGGCTGCCTCAGCCTCCCAAAGTGCTGGGATTACAGGTGTGAGCCACCACGACGCCTGGCCTTCCTTTTTTCTTTTTTAATATGAAATAATTCTTTTTTTCTTTTTTTTTTCAAGATGGGGTTTCACCGTGTTGGTCAGGCTGGTCTTGAACTCCCGACCTCAGGTGATCCGCCCGCCTTGGCCTCCAAAGTGCTTTGATTATAAGCGTGAGCCATCACGCCCGGCCTAATATGTAATAATTCAAAAATTTACATGTCATGCTTGTGCAGAGGCCATACTAATCTTCTCTGTATTGTTCCAATTTTAGCATATGCTCTGCTTATGTGAGCACTGGCCTAGTCTTCTATAAATGGCATCATACAGCATGTATTCTCTGTCTGACTTTCTTTACTCAATCATTATTTTAGATTTAGCTATCTGATGTATGTATCAATATCTCCTTTTTACTACTGGGAATTATTACATTGTAGACATATACCACAATTTGTTTATCCATTAATTTGTTGATAGATATTTGAGCTCTTTCTGGTTTCTGCTTTTACAAATAAAGCTGCTATGAACTTATGCTTTCATTTCTCTTGGATGATTTCCTGGACGTAGAGTGGCAAGGTTATACGTAGCTGTATGTTTAACTTTATAAAAACACCAGCTAAACTGATTTCCAAAGTGACTTTACCTTTTTACATTTTCACAAGCAGTATCTGAGAACTCCAGTTGCCTATCATTCTAACACTTGGTATAGTCAATCTTTTTAATTTTAGCCATTCAGGTGGGTGTGTGGTGGTATCTCATTGTGGTTTTCATTTGCATTTTCCTAATGACTAAGGAGGCTCAAGTTCTTTTCATATGCTTATTTGCCATTCTTTTGCCCATCTTAAAAACTGAGTTGTTTTCTTATTCAGCTTTTGAAAACTTTTTATATTTACTGGATACATAATTTGCAAATGTTTTCTCCAGTCTATGACATATTTTCCTTCACTAAAGAGTTTCTTTTAAAGCACAGTTCCTTTTTCTGAGACGGAGTTTCGCTCTTGTTGCCCAGGCTAGAGTGCAATTGTGTGATCTCGGCTCACTGCAACCTCTGCCTCCTGGGTTCAAGTGATTCTCCTGCTTCAGCCTCCTGAGTAGCTGGGATTACAGGATTACAAGTGTCTGCCACCATGTCCGGCCAATTTTTTTGTATTTTTAGAGACAGGGTTTCAGCATGTTGGCCAGGCTGGTCTTGAACCCCTCACCTCAGGTGATCTGCCCACCTCGGCCTCCTAAAGTGCTGGTATTACAGGCATGAGCCACTGCACCTGGCCTGAGGCATAGTTCTTAGTTTTGATGAAATCAAATACGTCAAGTGTTCCTGTATAGATCATGCTTTTACATCATATCTAAAAACTATTTACCTAACCAAAGGCCACTAAGATTTTCTCCTATGTTTTTTTTAAATGATTTATAGTTTTAAGTTTGACTTTTAAGTCTGTGATCCACTTGACTATTTTTTGAATGTAATACATGAGATATGGATAGAGGTTAATTTTTTTTTTAACATATGGCTGTTTCATCACCACTCCTTATAACTAATATCCTTTTTCCAATGAATTTCATTTGCACCTTTGTTGAAATCTATCAATTATGTATGTGTAAGTTCACTTTTGGACTCTGTATTTGATTCCATTGATTAATTTGTCAATAAAAGTACTATAGACATCAGTAAGTGAGAGACATCAGTGAGAGACATCAGTATGTAAGATACATCAGTATGTGAGAGACATCAGTGAGAGATATCAGTAAGTGAGAGACATCCAAACTTTCAGCTGCTGTCACCCTGCTTCATGCAGTAATTGAAGCATTTTGGAGTCTCTATTTATTCTTGGACCACAAATAGTTAAAATATATTACCCATTTCATTCCAAGTAATTCAATCTGTATGCTGAATTAATAATTCAATCTATATGTTGTGTCACTGAAGGGACTATTTTTTCTTTTTCTTTTTTTTTGAGACGGAGTTTCACTGTTGTTACCCAGGCTGGAGTGCAATGGCGCGATCTCGGCTCACCGCAACCTCCACCTCCTGGGTTCAGGCAATTCTCCTGCCTCAGCCTCCTGAGTAGCTGGGATTACAGGCACGCGCCACCATGCCCAACTAATGTTTTGTATTTTTAGTAGAGATGGGGTTTCACCATGTTGACCAGGATGGTCTTGATCTCTTGACCTTGTGATCCACCCACCTTAGCCTCCCAAAGTGCTGGGATTACAGGCTTGAGCCACCGTGCCCGGCTTTTTTTCTTAAGTTCCTGGTTACAAGTGCAGTGTGTGTAGGTTTGTTATATAGGTATACGTGTGCCATGGTGGTTTGCTACACCTATCAACCCATCATCTAGGTTTTAAGCCCTGCATGCATTAGCTATTTGTCCTAATGCCCTCTCTCCCCTTTCTCCCTACCCCACAACAGGTCCCAGTGTATGATGTTCCCCTCTGTGTATCCATGAGTTCTCATTGTTCAACTCCCACTTATGAGTGAGAACATGCGGTGTTTGATTTTCTGTTCCTATATTAGTTTGCTGAGGATGATGGTTTCTAGCCTCATCCATGTCCCTGCAAAGGACATGAACTCATTCTTTTTTATGGCTGCCTAGTATTCCATGGTGCATCTGTGCCACATTTTCTTTATCCAGTCTATCATTGATGGGCATTTAGGTTGGTTCCAAGTCTTTGCTATTGTAAATTGTGCTGCAACAAACATGCATGTGCATGTATCTTTATAGTAGAATGATTTATAATCCTTTGGATATATACCCAGTAATGGGATTGTGGGGTCAAATGGTATTTCTGGTTCTAGATCTTTGAGGAATCACCACACTATCTTCCATGATGGTTGAACTAATTTACACTCCCACCAACAGTGTAAAAGCATTCCTATTACTCCACGGCCTCGCCAGCATCTGTTGTTTCCTGACTTTTTAATAATCACCATTCTAACTGGTATGAGATGGTGTCTTATTGTGGTTTTGATTTGCATTTCTCTAATGACCAGTGATGATGAGCTTTTTTTCTTCATGTTTGTTGCTGGCATGAATGTCTCCTTTTGAGAAGTGTCTGTTCACATCCTTTGCCCACTTTTTGATGTGATTGTGGGCAGTTCTTGTAAATTTGTTTAAGTTCCTTGTAATATTAGACGTGTGTCAGATGGGTAGATTGCAAAAATTTTCTCCCATTCTGTAGGTTGCCTGTTCACTCTGATGATAGTTTCTTTGCTGTGCAGGAACTCCTTAGTTTAATTAGATCCCGCTTGTGGATTCCGGCTTTTGTTGCCATTGCTTTTGGTGTTTTAGTCATGAAGTCTTTGCCCATGGGAGGGGCTAAATTTTAACCATCATATTCCATCTTTAAGCTTTTAAAATCTGTCCTCTCACAATGAGACTCCTCCTTTAAGTGAGACTATTTCAGAAAATATATATAGATTTTTCTCTATCTTTAGGCGGAGTATTCCAAATCTGGAATAAGCCCCAGTTCAAACTCCATGTCCTCCTTCCACATCCTGTTGTTTCGTCTTCAGACTGTTTCACCTTCGGTATTTAGGCGTGAACTATAAAGTGTTCATGAACTGTTCAGTGGAGAGATCTGAATAGAAGATGAGCTGCTAGTGGCCTTTCTTGACTACCTCTCTAGGGCCCCTAAGTAATATTTAACTGTTCTGTATTAGTCTGTTCTTGTAGTGCTATAAAGAAATACCTGAGGATGGGCAATTTATAAAGAAAAGAGTTTTAATTACTTCACGGTTCTTCAGGCTGTGTAGCAACCACAGTACTGGCATCTGCTTGGCTTCTGGTGAGGCCTCAGGGAGCTTATAATCATGGCAGAAGGTGAAGGGGCAGCTGGTGTGTCACATGGCAAGAGCGAGAACGAGAGAGGGAGGAGGTGCCACACACTTTTAAACAACCAGATGTTGTGTGAACTCAGGGTGAGAACTCACTCATCACTAAGGGGATGGCACAAGCCATTCAGGAAGGATCTGACCCCATGATCCAAATACCACCTGCGGGCCCCACCTCTGACACTGGGGATTCAATTTCAACATGAGATTTGGAGGGAACAGATATCCAAATTATATCATGTTCCATGGCAAAACATACGAGTAAACTAACGAAAGTATTTTTGACTATGCAGAGGCAGGAACTGAAGTTCTTTCTCAGCTGTCTCAACTAACTGGAACGTTCTTTACGGCCCCCACTGGGATTGCCACTGGCTCTTACCAGCACAGTAAGTGTTACGGGAGCTGACAGCCATGTTCAAAAACACAGGCCAACTCCAGGACCACCAAAGGACAAAATCCAGTTAATAGTACTGGTACGGCTGATATTATTACTCCCTTTCATTCCTCCCCTGAAGGAATGCCATTACTTCCCAAACTAGGTAATCTCATATTGTTCAGTCATTTGCTTAGAAGATTATTTATTGTACATATTTGCCTCAATCCTTCATTTGCAAAAACTCTGTTGAAAACATAATCTTTAACAGTTAAGTAAAGTTGCTAATCTAGAAAAAGAATAAGTACAAAGAAGTACTTTTCTTAGTAAAATATAGTCAATATGGTTTTATTTGGAAAAATAAATTGTAGCTCCGAAGAGATGGCAAAGAGGCTTGCTTAGTTTCCATTTCAGTAGCATTATCTGGGAGGAAAAACGATCAGAGAAAATACACCTGAAAGCAAACTTTCATTTAGATACTAACGCTGCAAATTTGGATTAAAATGTAACACAGGCTGACCACCAAGAGAACCAAATTGCTTTGTTACACTGAGGCCAGTCATTTTCCCCTTGAACACACCCTTGATTCCTATCAACAAGGGCTGAGAGGGATGTAGAAACTGTATAAATCATTGCTTCTCTACTCCTAAATGCCAAGGGCCTTTTAGAATTTGGGAAAACCGGTATGATTGTGAAACTGGTAAGGGAAAAAATTCTTTGTAGATATAACAAAGTGCATTGACGTAATACAGTTTTGCCGAGGTCACTTGCTGATTTTAGTTAATATGGCAATATCACCAAATGATAGCATATTTGGCTCTGTGGAGAGAGGAACTGGCCTTGCAGAGCATAGCAGGGCATAGCCACTGTTGCTGGTAATAGGGGACAGGTTTTCTTCTTTTTCTCCTCCTCTGCCTTCCCTTTCTCCTGTTTATCCTCCTTTCCTCCTCTCTTCTTCTCATTCTCCTTATTTTTAAAAAAATGTTGTGGCCAGATGCAGTGGCTCACACCTATAATCTCAGCACTTTGGGAGATCAAGTTGAGCAGATCATCTGAGGTCAGGAGTTCAAGACCAGCCTGGCCAACATGGTGAAACCCAGTGTCTACTAAAAATACAAAATTTAGTCAGGCAGTAGTGGCACGCATCTGTAATCCCAACTACTGGGGAGGCTGAGGCACGAGAATTGCTTGAACCCGGGAGGCAGAGGTTGCCGTGAGTTGAGATCACGCCACTATACTCCAGCCTGGGTGACAGAGCAAGACTTGGTCTCAAACAAAAACAAAAACATGTTATGAAGCTTTTCACATCTATCTTTTCCTCTATAAAAAGTAGAGGAAACAAAGCAAACAAAGCTCTCTCTCCATTCAGGACAGAAAATTGAATTTAACATACCACTGCATCATCCAGTAATTGCTTTTTTTTTTGAGACAGAGTCTCTCAGCTCGTGGCAATTTCTGCCTCCCAGGTTCAAGTGATTCTCCTGCCTCAGCCTCCCAAGTAGCTAGGACTACAGGTGTGTGCCACCACATCCAGCTAATTTTTTGCATTTTTAGTAGAGACAGCTTTTATTGTGTTAGGATGATCGCGATCTCCTGACCTTGTGATCTGCCCACCTCAGCAGTAATTGCTTTTTAAGAAGAGAAACTTTCTGTAAGCACCTGCTATAGTCACAAAGATGATTTGTACAGCAAGGTAGCAGTTTGACATAATTTAAGAAACATATAGATTTGGCCATGACGAGGTTGCCTTTCAATGGTTTAATGGGGAAGCCGTGTACCATGGGATTTCTTGTGTTTTCACTTTTAGACTGGAAAGGTAAAGCAGTGCATTCTTCCTTAGGTGACTGCTCAGCTTCCCAATGCATAGTCCAGCAGCTGTTTTTTTAAACTTTGAATGGAGTATGTCAGCCTCATCTATCAAAGAGTAGAGATGCATTTGAAATGATTAATTGAATCCTTTTTGAGTTTCTAACTTTACCTTTGAAAACAGAGGATGGGTGTTTTTCTTAGTCTTCTAATGAGAAACGATAATAAACTCAATACAAATGCAACCAAGTTTCTGTTGTAATTTAAACAAGACATAGAATTCTTTCATTTGAGCTCAAACCTGCAGGAATAACAGAGGAAAATCATGTCAGTTCTTAGTGATTAGCTGGGAGCCCAATGGGGAAAGGCCCCCTCTTCCATCTACTTCAGCGAATCGAAGCTACAGACATGGTCCAGCTTCACAGACTTCCTAGAAGACACCTTGAAAGGGGTAAGGAAGCAGTTGTGTCCTCTCTTCAAGGAACTGCAGAAGAGCATCAGTGGCAGGATGATAGGTAAGCAGTCCCCCTACTTCTGTTGCAGGTTAATTATGAAGTTACCTTCATATCCCAAGTGAATACAAGTTTAGTTATGGCGCAAGTAAAATTTAACTCTTGAACATTTCAGTAAAACTTTATCTCCTAGGTTGCTCACATTGCCTTTCAAATATAATGAATACCCCCTAAGAGCAAATATACTCACGTTCAAAATGTTGAAGCTGGTTCTTATTTTAAAATTTTACCACCTTGAGCAGGGCGCTGTGGCTCACTCCTGTAATTCCAGAACTTTGGGAGGCCGAGGCAGGTGGATCACCTGAGGTCAGGAGTTCGAGACCAGCCTGGCCAACATGGTGAAACCCTGTCTCTACTAATATATATATATAAGCTGGGTGTAGTGGTGGGCACCTGTAATCCCAGATACTCGGGAAGATAAGGCAGGAGAATTGCTTGAACCCAGGGGACGGACGTTGCAGTGAGCAAATACGGTGCCACTCAACTCCAACCTGGGCAACAGAGTAATACTGTGGCTCAAAAAAAAAAAAAAAAAATTACCACCTTATTAATTCTTGTTTGTCAATTATTTGCCTAGACACAATTTGCTGTTTGCTAAGCCAGAGAGCTGTGTACTTTCCCCACGAGAATTTGCTCTCAAAGTTAAGCACCTCTTAAACCCCAGCACTTATTACATAAATTCTTCTACAATTTAAGTTATATTTATTTTCTATATAAAATATATAATTTAGTGATGGGTTCCATGGGCCTTTGCTAAGCCTACTGCACACAGCTGAATGAATTTTTCCATTCACACCCCATCCCCATAATCGAATGAATGACCACAGCAGAGCCCTTTGAAAACAACTTACTGCCTCAACTTTGCATCTTTACTAAAGTAGTCCATTCTTTAAAATTAAGTATATTTCACCCTGTGGGTAAAAAGCTTTCCCTTTTCTCATCTGCAACTATTAATATCTATTCAATTTTTCCCCTAATACTTCCCACCTGACTAAAACACCATATCAATCAAATCATCCTGTACCTATGCCTTTCTTCTTTTCCTCTGCCCAGTTCCATATGTAAGGTCTGTTTACATAGTTACCATCTACACAACAGCTGCAACACACAAGCATGCATGCAGATATCTTATCTGTCAATGTATGTCCTACATCTCTTTACATAAATGCCTCCCAAACAGGGATTTGCCTTCCTGCTAATTTGTCCTACCCACTCTGTCACATTTAGGAGGTGTTCAACCATTTAAAAATAGTTATGAAGTTATAAACAGGGAGAAATTATTTCTCCTACTTGTGTTTTTTTTTTTTTTTTTTTGAGATGGAGTTTCTCTCTTGACCCCTAGGCTGGAGAGTAACAGTGTGATCTCGGCTCACTGCAACCTCCCCATCCTGGGTTCAAGGGATTCTCCTGCCTCAGCATCCCAAGTAACTGGGATTACAGGCACACGCCACCACACCAGGCTAATTTTTTTTTTAATGGAGTCTCGCTCTGTTGCCCAGGCTGCAGTGCAGTGGTACAATCTCGGCTCACTGCAACCTCTGCCTCCCAGGTTCAAGCAATTCTCCTGCCTCAGCCTTCCAAGTAGCTGGGATTACAGGCATCCACCACCACATGCTGCTAATTTCTGTATTTCTAGTGGAGGCGGAGTTTCACCATGTTGGCCAGGCTGGTCTCGAACTCCTGACCTGAAGTGATCCACCCATCTTGGCCTCCCAAAGTGCTGGGATTACAGGCACAAGCCACTGGTGTCCAGCCTAATTTTTGTATTTTTAGTAGAGACTGGGTTTCACCACGTTGGCCAGGTTGGTCTCGAACTCCTGACCTCAAGTGATCACCTGCCTCGGCCTCTCAAAGTGCTAGGACTACAGGCATGAGCCACCACACCTGGCTCTCCTAGTTCTTTCCTAGATATTAAGGACTAGAAAGAAAATTGGAAAGGTAAACTTTTTAAAGATATAATTTTGTGTGTTTTGTTTTTTTTAGAGACGGGCTCTCACTCTGTCACCCAGGCTGGAGTGCAGCAGCACAGTCATAGCTCACTGCAGCCTAGAACTCAAGTTCAAGCTATCTTCCTGCCTCAGCTTCCCCAATATAATATATGTAGACAGTGAGAAGTCAATGGAAAAACGATATTTTATATAACCGCATGGTGTTAAAAATATTTTAAAAATTAACAGATTTCTGTGTATGTATGTTTGCATGTTACTTTGGACTTTAAAATATTTATATATTTGAAGCCTGGTATGGTGGCTCATGCCTGTAATCCCAAAAGCACTTTGGGAAGCCAAGATAGGTGGCTTAGGAGTTTGAGACCAGCCTGGGCAACGTGGCAAAACAGTGTCTCCACAGAAAAATATAAAAGTTAGCTGGGCACAGTGACATGTGCTATCGAGGAGGCTGAAGCATGAGAATTGCTTGAGCTGGGGAGGAAGAGGTTGCAGTAAGCCAAGGTCGCGTCATTGCATTCCAGCCTGGGCGACAGAGTGAGATCCTGTCTCAAAAAAAAAAAAAAAAAAATTGTCTGTTTGAGCACAAAGATAAAGGGGAATATGGAGGAACTTTTGGTAGGATTGAGAGTCTAATATTTAAACTTACTGAGTTCCTTTTCTTGTGTTGTCTCCTTATTGTCCAATTTATACATTTCATTCAATATCAGTTTTGCCAGAGTAGGCACTTTTTATATGCTAGACATTTAAATTACTTTGGTTCATTTTATATTTTATCATAGTAGAAATCTTCATGGTGTAATAGAATTTTTAACTGCTATTCTTTGCATTTTTATCCACTAAAAAACAACTGTGGGTCCAGTATGGTGGCTCATGTCCGTAGTCCCAATGCTTTGGGAGGCTGAGGTGGGCAAATTGCTTGAGGCCAAGAGTTTGAGACCAGCTGGGAAACATAGAAAGACTCTAGCTCTACAAAAAGTTAAAAAATTGGCCAGGCGCAGTGGCTCACGCCTGTAATCCCAGCACTTTGGGAGGACGAGGTTGGCAGATCACTTGAGGTCAGGAGTTTGAGACCAGCCTGGCCAACATGATGAAACCCTATCTCTGTTAAAACTACAAAAAAAAAAAAAAAAATTAGCCGGGCATGGCTACTTGGGAGGCTGAGGCAGAAGAATTGCTTGAACCCGGGAGGCGGGGGTTGCAGTGAGCCCAGATAGCACCACTGCACTCTAGCCTGGGTGACAAGAACAAGACTCCA